AACTCTTAATAATTTACCTCAAGAAACTCTTAATAATTTACCTCAAGAAACTCATTATAATTTACCTCAAGAAACTCTTAATAATTTACCTCAAGAAACTCTTAATAATTTACCTCAAGAAACTCATTATAATTTACCTCAAGAAACTCTTAATAATTTACCTCAAGAAACTCTTAATAATTTACCTCAAGAAACTCATTATAATTTACCTCAAGAAACTCATTATAATTTACCTCAAGAAACTCTTAATAATTTATCTCAAGAAACTTTTAATAATTTACCTCAAGAAATTCTTAATAATTTACCTCAAGAAACTCTTACCAAACTTCATGATGCATCTAATGAATTCGAAGTTGCTCTGTGGGTAGCTTACCATCCAAAAGTCTTAAATTTAGCCAACACTATTCGTAGTGCAATGAAAATTAAAATAACAGAAAACGATAATATACCATCAAATACTACTAATGATGAAATACTCTCAAACACTACTAATTCATGCAATTCTATAATAGAAATTAATAAGGTAAATCATTATACGTATATTTCAATAATTACTGTATATGTAAACTTATAGTATACTTCAATCTTAGCACATGAAGTTTCAATTGCAAGAAGAATGTAAAGCACTCTTCTTGCGAACTAGAAATAATACCACGGTATTATACGAAGAATTGATTGTAAAAGTATGCAAGATTCCGAAAAGCGATCATCGCATGGCAACGTTAGTTAAAGATGTGGGTAGTTGGTATGACGTCTATCGCTATAGATTTCATGTTGCTATTTTAAACCTTGCAAATGAATTTTCCGCAACACATGAATGGTAAGTATTTAGTAATGGTTATATACATTATCTGAAATCACAACATAAAATTTAAAAGATGTTATAAATTAATTTTAGGGAAGACGAACCGTTAATTAGTGAATTATCTGAATTTATCAGCGAAGATGTATGGAGGCAAGTACTTCAACTGCATTTGAAAGCTACTGATTTGCCGGCACTAAAGAATGATTCCGAAATGTTTATGAAGCTTGGCACTTTAGTATCTGAAGCAGTAAGAAGGGTTCTTATTGCGCAGCAAAATGAACAAGATACTAAAATTGCGATTAGGAAATGTGATGAAATCACTTTAGATTTAAAAATTCCAACTAAGTTTGAAATAGTTAAAACTTTACCAGTTAGAGAGCTTTTAAAATTGTAAATAGAATATGTGCAAGTAGTTATCATGTAAAAAGCTAATGATTATATAAGTATAGATATTCAGATAGGTATATTACAGCATCAGTAAAATCAAACTATTCATGCAACTAGGATTTGTTAAGCAATGTAGAAACTGTTCTTTTTTCTGTTTTTTGATTGTTTCAGGGATTATTAATAAGCTATTTTATTATGTTTTTTTTTTACCATTTTTATTTTTATTGCTTTTGTTCTCTGTCATGAGTTAAACTACTCTCGAATTTTCTGTTTAGCGTTTTTTCCATGTTGTGACTGGGAAAATCTATCCTAAACTTTAGCCTATCTAATAACAAATATTCTCAGTATTCTTGATTAATTTGGTCACGCGTTCCTATGTGGATCACGGCTGTATTAAAAAACGGAAGAACCTTCTATCAAGTCAACATAGACCCAAAATGCTGGACTACATTGATTAAAAGGTAAATTTCGATTTTTCATATATTTGTATAATATATTGAAAGTAAAAATTATGAAATTAACCAGATTTTGTTGATTTTATCGATCCATTGAATAAGGTGTAGTATCATATCTTCTTAATATCGATTAACATAAGGCATTTATTTATTATCAGAATTCTGGAGAGATGGGATGCTACTGAGACAATTAATGTTGGATATTGTTATGATTGGAGTTGAAAAGGATAACGTAATGCATTCATTTATTATCAAAAATCTTCAGAGATGGAGCATATTAAAGGAACATTTAATGATGGATATTTTTATCAAAATAGAATTGGAGTTGAAAAATATGAACATAAAGAGTTCATTTATTATCAAAAATCTGCAGGAATGTGCACGCTAATGAAACATATAATGTTGGATTTTGTTATATATATGGAATTGGAGTTGAAAAGAATGAACATAAGTCATTAATTTGTTACCAAAAGTCTGCGGAGATGGAAAATGCTACTGGGACATTTTAATGTTGGGTTTTGCTATGAAAAAGTAATTGTAATTGAAAAGGATAAACATCTAATGTTGGATTTTTGTTATCTGCATGGAATTAGAGTTGAAAAGAATGAACATAAGGCATTCATTTATTATTAAAAATTTGCGTTGATAGAAAATGCTATTGAAGATTTAATGTTGGATTTTGCTAAGAAAAATTAATTGTAATTGAAAAGCATTCATTCATTATCAAAAATCCGACAAAGCGGGAAGCATTGCTGGAATTCATTGTAATCGAAATTGGATTGAAACATAAAGATATTTATAGAAGGCTAATTATTGGTATCAAATGTAATATATTTATTTTCATCTTTTTTTATCGTAACTATAGTCTTTTTAACAACATACATAATCAGGAAAAAAACAATATGTAAGCAATTTAAAAATTACTGTAATATTATATTTGAAACATTTAGTATAAATTTACTAATTAATTTTTTTTAGCAACAAGTTAACGGACAAATGATAAATCTAATATTTACGATAATATAAAAAAAATTACAAAATACTGGAGATGTTGCACTTAAATTACTGCATGGATCAAAATTTTGTTATAAAAGAGGTAATTTTTATTTTATGCTTATTATTTTTTTTAATAATATTTGCTACTGGCATTAGGGATGTTAAATTGCGAATCCAATTCGGTCCGATCCTAGGATCTAAAAAGACAGTCCTGGACTCGATCCTTTAAATCACATGAAAATACTATACATTTTATAGGACTTAGAATCTATCGAATAAGTCCATCCAATCAAATTAATTTGTATTGTTATAATAATTCAATTCAGGATCCAAGTCCTATAAAATGTATTGTGTTTTCATGTGATTTAAGGACCGAGTCCTTACCTAACCGGTCCTTACAAGGACCTGCAGGATTGGATTCGGTCCCAAAGACCGATTAACATCCCTAACTGGCATATTGTAATATTAGTTCTAAGCATCCCTCATTTCTGAAATGTTTTGGAATATCAATAGATGAATCTTCCGAAGATTATATCCTTGTCATGAAATATGCATCAATGGGTTCCTTACGTCAAAATCTTCGCTCTGTCACAAATAAAATGGGTGAATAAGAATAAATTAACTTTATTACATTGTATCGCCTCTGAACTTCAAATGATTCATTCTCAAGGATTATTCATCGAGATTGCATAGTGGTAATATTATACATGACAATTTATGTAGTGCCTATATCGCAGGTTTGGGACTTTCAATATCAACTAATAGAGCATTAAATGCGGAAAGACGTGTTTATGGAATTTTACCATATACAGCACCGGAAACTTTAGACCGAGATCAATATACAACTGCGTCAGATATTTACCATACACTCTTTTTGCGAGCACCAATTTTGATTGTATTGCACTGAGATAAGCTATATTTGTATTGATTATTATTTGTGACCGCAAAAAAACAATAAATAAATGCTTAATTAGACGTGTGATTCTCAATTTAAAAGTAAGATTTGTTCGTTGATTTTTTTTATGAGTTAAAAAACATTCTTCTATTATTAAACTTGAGAAACTTCGAATATGTGGGGTGTTAAACTTTTTTTATATCTGGTAAGTTTTTTTTGATCTTATTTATTTCAACAATCTTCGAATTTAACTAATAGAAGCATTGATGTTATAGGTCGAAT